TTTATTACCCCAGAAAGGAAAAACCATGCATGGGAATGGTGGAAAAGCAAAGAGCTTGGGAAGCTCTTCCCTGCTATGCTGTAGCACATCATGATGGCATCGGCAGTGCTGAAGGAAGAAGCTGCCAGGAAGGACACAAAGAGAGGCAGAGGACAGTGCCAGCCTTGCAGAATGCCATGGCCTCACCCCCACTAAGCAGGGTCTGGGCACAACAGCTTCTTGCTGCAATCCCTTTCCTGAAATACTCGAGTGAGTAGTGCTCTGTCAGAAGGATTCAGGGCTGAGCCAAGCCTGTCAGGATTACATCTGGGGGGTGGGAAGGTTAGTAGGATGAAAGAGTGAGAAGGTAAACAAACAGCACATTCCACTGGTTCCTGTTGGCAGGAGAAGGGATTTCCTGGCCAAGGGAGGGAAAAGGAGGGATTGCACAGAAAAGCCAAGAGAAAACCACACGTGGTTCTCTTCCAAAGAACCACTGAGGTCAGACTTGTCTCACAGCTCTGTGAGCTCGTAGGTATGAACCAGCTCTGTTGTCAGAAGCAGGAACCACGCTGCCATGCACTGTGTTCTTAGTGGCAGCAGCTATTTTAGTATTAGTCAGAGAGAATGCAGGCCAAAATCTCCACCAAGGCAAACAGATTAAGAGTATTTGGGGAAAGTGGTGTGCTGGTGCCCCTGCAAAAGAGTGTTCTCCAGCAGAGAGAGGGCAGCCTGGGTTCAATTTGTAAAACTAAGCTGCAGTTAAGGCAGCCAAAGAGTAAGAAGTTACTTTACATTGAAATATGGATTGAGTCAAAGGAATAAAACTCCCGATGTTTGTCCTGTTTTATGCAGGTCACTCACTTTAAGGGCAAGTCTAGTCCCGAGCTTGTTTCTTCCATCTATAAACTGGAAATATGAGTTACTTATTTCATAACAAACCATGCTGTCTGCTGGCCTCTGTGAACCACTGAGATGTTTCTGGAGTAAAACCACTGCAGAAGTATTAAGTAACTTTTTTTATCCCAGGGGAATAATGAGGAGAAAAGATTTAACAACAAACATTTGAACAGAGAGGTAATTAAACCCCACCACCCAGCTTTTTAGTTCAAACTGAACTGAATACAACAAAATTGTACCAAGTCAAGGATCTGCAGCTGCCTTAATCCTCCTGAAATGTTCCCTCCTTGAAGCTTCTTATAGTCTTTCTCTCCCAAGTGCTCCAAACACTGAGCACTACAAACACTGCCTAAATATCATGCCACATTCTTCCTAGGTCCAGCCCTGAAGTCACATCAGCTTGACTCTGTAGCTGGACACATGTCACTCTTCGTGTCGCCTGTTCTTGAAGCTTTGAAGTGCCCACAGACAATTGCTTTGCGCTTTCTGTCTCTAAAGAAATAGATAAAAAACAACCTAAGACAATGTGTCAGAAGAACACAAGGCTGGAACAAAGCTTCTAGAATCTTCCAGGACTAATGTCATAAATCAGTCAGCTTTAAGAAGGCAACGTGTCACTACTGAGCCTTTAGCCCCTAAATTTTACAACTGACTACAGTTTAAGAATGTAATTATAATTTAGAATGCAGCTGCATTTTACTTCAGTCTGGCCTCCTCATCACAGCAAAGGCTGATGTGATAATTCTCAAGTCAATTTTAAGCATGTAAAATTACCTGAACACTTCCTACAAACATAAAGCTCTCTCAGAACAAGTTACACACTTTCAAATGATGTTATTTTCTGCCAGAGCCAGTTGTTTGTAGCAATCGACGCAACCACTCTGCAGAAGAAAGAACCATTTAACAGTGGTTATTTTTACTGAGAGTCTCAATGCTAATGCCCTTCAAACCTCTTGGACTTCTGACAAATGCAAATGTTTGAAGTTACTCTTGTATCTAGTTTGCTTGTATTTTCATGTGCCTCTCTACTATCCACCATATAAAGTTTGAAGAGCCTTTGCTGTATCCCACAGCTGTTCCTAGACAAGGTACCTACTTCTAGAGACTTCTGCAGCTCTATCTTCCTCATGTACTTTCCACTAGTAACACACACAGTCTTCCTAGCTCCTCACTCGAGATTCCTTTATACACCTAGCAGTGAGACAGTTTTCTTTCCATGCTATCAAAGAGAAGCAGCATATCCTGCTGTAACTCTTACTGAGCAGGGAACCGTCAGTCTCCCTGGCGTCTGGGATAGGCAGTCCCTTCCTGAAGCCACACAACATCCAGTTTTGCCTCAATTCTCAAGCAAGGTGAAACTTGCAAATTAAAAATTCCTACCTTGTTGTCTCTGTCCCCTCCGGATGATCCAGGCTAAAGATTACCACATGCCAGAGCAAATAATAACCTGTCACCCAACAGTACTTCTACCAGCTCCCTGTTTCACAACCACATCCTGCTTTTCCTCAACCAGTTGCTCTTGTTCTCCCCCTGCCTGACTCATCATCCCTTTCCCTGGCCAGGCTGGTGTCCTGCTATACTCCAGATTGCTCTCGTGCTCCTGCTCAATCATCTGACTTGGCGGCCACTCGTGTTTACCAGACAGCTCCTTTTCATCACCCCACTGCTGCCTCCTCTTGCTCCTCTGCAGCATCTCGGAGCCACTTGAACTCACTTCAGACCCCTCAGCAGCAGAGAACAGGCGATGCTCCCGCTGCTTTCCCTGACCTCCATGTGCTGCCAGAGCCTCCTCCCTGCCAGCTCCTGCAGGTGTTCCAGGGAGGTTCCCTGCTCACCTCACTAGTAAGCAAACACCAATACTTTTCCACATGCTTATTAATCAGCTTCCACTGTGTTGACAGCCCTTCTTTTTGTCATCTACCCTCCCAAGCCCATTCAAAACCAGCAGGTCCCACTGGCATATGTTTGTGGGCGGATTTTCCAATCCCAGTGTGAGGGGAGCTGCAAACCCTTCCCAGCCAGAAACTAAACTTTAATTATGACAAGCCAAAAGCAAGTAGCACAGCCTGAGCCTGTAGTGCTTTGCAATGCATCAGTCACACTTCAGTGTAAATCCATCTGAGAAGCTCACAAGCTGTTCCTTGATATTCTACAAGATAATTCAGCAATTAAGAGGCCAAGAGGTGTTCCTACACCACAGGCTTTATACATCCGCATGTCAACACCAGTCTGTACCTTTCTCAGAGTGTCTTAATTCCTTAGCAGTCCATTTACCCTGATAGGGGAGAATAATCAACCAGCTTTCACTAAGCATGTAGAAGATAAGCTTGTTCAGACCTTACCGAGGCAGCTGTTAAGCCAGTACTGTCCACAAGGCACCTCCCCAGCAGATGCTACAGAAACAGTCACCCAGGCTGGCAGCCAAAAGGGCTGTGATAAAAGACTGAGTAACCTGTTTATTCAGGGGTGCCAATCTCCCCCTTTCCCAGAAGCTGAAGTTTCTGCTACATGGTCTAGATAAAAAATCTCTGAGGTTACACAATGCACATAAACGTAAGAGTAAGCCTCAGGGACTGGCACCAAGTTTCTTACCTATAAAGCTCACCTGTAGTACAGTTTGGTTGAATCAAAAACCCTGTCACAGCCACATGCTGTGAACCAATGTGTGTGGGTAGTGCTTCACACTGCCAGCATGTGTTCAAATACCACGTAGCACCCCAAAACCTACTAAAAATACACAATATCAACAGTATTCGGGGGGGAAGAGGTCAAAGAGCTATCAAGTGACAAGTTTGCTTTTCTTAGCTGAACCTCACCAGCAGACCAGCTTTCCAGATGCCAACCCCTTCTCTCAAATAAAACCCAAGCACCATAACTGGTCAAACTTTAAAGACCTACTTGCAGTATCAGGGATTTCATTTCAGGGTTTTT